TTATTCTAACTGCAGTTTTGAGAAACCAAAAAATTTAAAAAAGTTAAAAACGAGCACTTGAAAAATAAAATGATAGACCGACTAATTGAAAAATCGGATAACAGAGAAATGAAAAAAATCAAGAATTGAATAACGGAAGACTGAAAAATTGGGCAGTGAAGAATCAAAGCTCAAAATTTGGATGGAAACACTGAAAAATTTAAAACTGATAACTCTAAAAATTAAAAATCGAGAAACTGAGAAAAATCGTAAAATCTAAAAAGTGAAGATCAAAAAAGTGAGGACACGAAAAATTGAAAAATTCAAAATTTGGAAAGTCGAAAAATCGAAAATTTAAAAAATTAAAACATTTTAAAAATAGAGAGACTGAAAAGTTGGATAATCATTGATCAAAGATCGAAAAATTGGAAAATTAAAAACGAGAAATTGAAAAATCGAAAAACCAAAAAAAAAAACATTTAAAAATCCGAAAATTGTAGAACAATTGTACGTTCAGAAATTGAAAATTTGTAAACAGAGGAACTGAAAAATTAAAAACTGAAAAATCGAAAAATTAAAAGGAAGAATAAAAAATGGGAAAATTTTACATAAAAAAATTAAGAAACGGAAAACTGAAAAAATTTAAGAATTTAACATTTAGTGCTCAAAAAATTGGAATCGATAAAAGAAGAAACTAAAAATAAAAAATCGAGAACATGAAAAATTGAATATTGAAGAAACGAAAAACTGAAAAATTCAAAAGTAGGAAAATCGAAAAATTTAAAATCGAAAATTCGACAAAACAATAAAAAGCAGAAAAATTTTAAAATAGAGAAATTGACAAATCGAATAATTATTATCGAAAAACCAAAATCTGAAAAACTAAAATCGCAAAAAATTATAAAAATGTGCACTTAAAAAATTTTAAATGCAAAAATCGAAAAATAAAAAAATTGATAAAAATTCAAAAAACAGCTTTAATCAAATTAAAAGTTTGAAAAATCGAAAAACTGAGAAACCAGATAATTTAAAAATTAAGAGTTGTTACTAAAAAATCGAAAAATTGCAGAGTTATAAAACTGAAAAATTGAAAATCGAAAAACTGTAAAATCGAAAGAAAAATCGAGAAATTGAAAAATCAAGAATTGAAAAATTAAGAAGTTCGAAATCGAGAACATAAAAATGAAGAATTTAAAAGAAAGATAGGAAAAATGAAAAATGGGATAACAGAGAAATGAAAAAACCGAAATTAAAAAACGGAAAATTGAAAATTTGAACATTCAAGACTCAAAGCTCAAAATTTGGATCGAAGAACTGAAAAATTTAGAACTGACAAATCTAAAAATTAAAAATCGGAAAACCGAAATTTTGGAAAATCGTAAAATCTAAAAATTGTAAATCAAAATTTGAGAAATTAAAAAATCATTGATAATTAAAAAAACAACTTTAATCAAATTGCAAGTTTCAAAAATTGGAAAAATCAGACAATTCACAAAATTAAGAATTGTTAACTAAAAAATCTAAAAAAGCAAAATTGTAAATTTGAAAAATCGAAAACTTAAGAAGTTCGAAATCGAAAACATGAAAATGATAAATTAAAATGAAAAAATTAGGTAAAACCGAAAATTGTAAAATGGAACACGGAAAAATCAAAATTCTAAATTTGGATCGAAAGACTGAAAAATTTAAAACTAACAACTCTAAACGGAAATTTTGAAAAAGTTGAAAAAGCAAAAAATTGGAAATTACAAAATTTGGAAAGTCGAAAAATCGAAAATTTAAAAATTTAAAAATTGAAAAATATTAAAAATAGAGAAATTGAAAAGTTGGGTAACTATTGAAAGATCAGAAGAAAAAAAAACTGAAAAATTTAAAATTGACAAGTCTAAAAATTTAAAATCGAGAAACCGGAATTTTTAAAAATTAAAAAAAAATTACAAAATCGAAGAATTGAAGAAACGTAAAGTAGGAAAATTCAATATTTCGAAAGTCCAAAAATCAAAAATTTAAAAAACTAAAAATTTAAAGATTTTAAAAGTAGAGAAACTGAAAAGTCGAATGATTAATGAAAGATCAAAGGTCGAAAAATTGGAAAATCAAAAGTTTTACAACTGAAAAATTAAAAATAAAAATTTGAAAAATCGAATAACTGAAAAAACGAAACATTGAACATCAGAAATGAAAAACAGAAACTGAGAAATTGAAAACTGAAAAATGGAAAAATTAAAATTAGGAATCGAATTGAAACATTCTAACATTAAAAATCGAAAAATTTTAAAATTGAAAAATTGAAAAAACTGAAGAATTTAAGATTCAGTGCTCAAAAAGATGGAATCGAAAAAAAGGAACTTAAAGTAAAAAATCAAGAAAATGAAAAATCGAATATTGAGGAAACAAAAGATTGGAAATTTCAAAAGTGGGAAAGTCGAAACATTTAAAATCGAAAATTCGAAACAATGAAAAGCAGAAAAGTTAAAAAATGCAACAATCATAAAATTGTAAAGTTATAGAAAATTCAAAAAACAACATTAATCAAATTGCAAGTTGAAAAAACGAAAAACTGATAAACCAGACGATTCAAAAATTAAGAACTGTTAACTAAAAAATCGAGAAAGTTGTAAATTTGAAAAATCGAAGAAATATAGGTAGAGAAGTTGAAATATCAAAAATTGAAAAATTAAAAATAGAAAATCGAGAAATTGACAAATCGAAAATTCGAGAAATTGAAAAATCGGAAGATTGAGAAATTGAAAAATCAAAAAGCGAAAAATTAAAAAAAGCGAAATCGAGAATGTAAAAAAGGAATATTAAAATGAAAGATCGAGAAATTGAAAAATCGGAGAACAAAGAAATGAAAAAAATCAAAAATTGAAAAATTGAATATTGAAGAATCAAATCTCAAAATTTGGATCAAAAAACTGAAAAATTTAAAACTGACAAATCTAAAATTAAAAATCTGGAAACTGAAAGTGAAGAAATTGAAAAACTCAAAATTGCGAAAGTCGAAAAATTGAAAATATAAAAAACTAAAAAATTGAAAAATTTAAAAAATAGAGAAACTGAAAAGTAGGGTAATCATTGAAAGATCGAAAAATTGGAAAATTAATGATTTTATAACCGAAAAACTGAAAAATTAAAATGAAAAATTGAAAAGTCGGAAAACTGAAAAATCTAAACATTCAAAATCGAAAAATTGTAAAATTGAACAGTCAGAAATTGAAAATTTGGAAAATTATAAACTCAAAACTCGAAAAATTAAAAAAGGAACAAAACTGAAAAATTGTAGCATTAAAAAATGGAAAAATTTTAAAATTAAAAAATTCAAGAGACGAAAAATTGAATAAATTGAAGAATTTAAGATTCAGTGCTCAACAAATTGGAATCGAAAAAAGAAACTAAAAATTAAGAATTGAAAAAATGAAAAATCGAATACTGAAGAAAGGAAAAATTGGAAAATTGAAAAGTGGGAAAATCGAAAACTTAAAATCGAAAATTCGAAATACTGAAAACCAGAAAGAATGAAAAATCTAAAAATTTAAAAAATAGAAAAATTGAAAACTCGAATAATTAAAGAAACAAAAACTGAAAAACTGTCAAATCGCAAAATTGTTACACTGAAACACAACTTTAATCAAATTGCATGTTTGAAAAATCGAAAAGTTGAAAAACCAGACGATTCAAAAATTAAGAATAGTTAACTAGAAAATCGAAAAATTGCCGTGATCGAAATATAGAGAATTTGAAAGATCAAAAATCGAAAAATAAAAAAAAAAGGGAATTTGAAAGATATAAATATGAAGAAAATTAAAATGAGAAATTGAAAAGTCGAAAACCTGAAAAATCCAAAAATTAAAAAAAGGAATAAAATTGAAAAACTGTAACATTAAAAATAAAAAAAATTTAAAATTAAAAAATTCAAGAGACGAAGAATTGAAAAAAAATGAAGAATTTAAGTGCTCAAAAAATCGGACTCAAAAAAAGATAAAAATAAAAAATCGGCAAAATGAAAAATCGAATATTGAAGAAACGAGAAAATCGAAAATTCGAGACGATAAAAAGCAGAAAAATTGAAAAATCTAAAAATTTTAAAAATAGAAAAATAGAAAAATCGAATAATTATTATCGAAAATTAAAATCTGAAAAACTGTAAAATCGCGAAATTGTTGAATTGAAACATGGAAAAATTGAAAAATTGAGGTCGAAAAATGAAGAAGCGAAAAATTAAAATTCGAATAACTGAAAAAACAAAAATTTGAAAAATCAAAACTCGAAAAAGTGAAATGAAAAAATAAAAAAAGTTATTTTATCATAAACAGATCATTTTAAATCGGACGAGGGTTCAATTCTTGTTGACACAGCATAACCTAGCGAAAGTGCAGCCACAGCCTACCCATATTCAAGTAGGTAGTAGGTAACATTGTGATATTTAAATGAATTAGTTAATTAAAAAGTACTGCGTTGTACTTGTACACCTGAACAGAATTTTATTTGTATAAAGACAAACTGACAAATCCTTGGGTGCTAAGTATAGTTCACACTAAAAGAAGAGTACGACCAGTCCAGAGGTAATAAAATCTTGAATTTCCAAGAACCGATTTTTACGTAATTTACGTAAGTACGCACTCGCGTATATAATTTAAATTCCAGACACACAAAATTTCAAATTTTAGCATCACAAATTGAGCGCTGGACACGCAAAACCACCATTTTAAAGGCCAGAAGTGTGTCTTTGATACAGTTATGTAAAAACAAGGTGAATAAGACGCCCCAGAGGCAGTCCGCTTTATATTCGCAACCATCAATCCCCAACGTCGTGACTTATCTCCATCTTTTTTTACTTCGATTAATATTTAACAGGATGTGTACGTATTTTAATAAAGAACAATTCGCTTCGACCTTGAACCATCGAGTGTTAAATGACATAACAATCTATTTGTTTAGCAATAAATTTAAATTAATCGCACACTCACATCAACACCACATACAAAAAATAATAAAAAAAAATAAATAAAAGTCCTCACCTGTACTTCATTACCGACGCTTAGTTGCACCAAAAGCTCGACTTTGTTCTCATCGAAGGGATAGACCCCGATCTTCCCATGAAGCTCCCCGTTCTGGTCCATCTGGTACTGGAAGGTCCTGGGACATGGGCTGTCGTACAGCTGGGATCGCACGACCACGAGCATGGCCACCAGGACAGGGAGGGTTTTGGGTGAATTCATGAAAATCAGTTCGAGGCACATTTTCGTGTCACTTGCTCTGGCACATTTTTACTTTTAGGTGGCAGGTTCTGGAAACGTGAAGATGGTAAGTTGGTGATTGGTGCCGGTTGAGTGGTGACATTGATGACATTTGGTTCCGGACGTTGAGCAGAGATGTAAACGCTTGAAAAAGCTAGCTCGGAATTTCTAGGAGGATCTAATCGGAATTAGAGGTGTTATTTGTGTTTTTGCTGGGTGTAGTCATCGATCATATAAGCGATAATTTTGGTACCACCCACGAGGATCTGGGTGCTTTTTTTATTAGCACTTGATTTGCATCAAGGAAATGGTGCCGACGGTACAATATTGAAAGTTCTATTTGTGTGAGGATTAGCGGCTTCAATTTAAATTGAGAAAATTGTATTGTTTTTTCCAAATTGGTTATTTTTTCAAAATTACGCCCAATTATTGACATTTTCGAAACTTCGCTAAATACATTGTCTTGTAGATTTAGAGCTCTAGAACTCACTTCCGCCATCGTTTCTTTGATAAGTGCAAACAGTTTTTCCGAAATCGTCAAATTTTTCGATGTTTCAATTCTACAATTTTCAATTTTTAAATTTTAGAATTCTGAATTTTTCAATTTTCCGATTTTTTTGTGCTTCGATTTCTCGATTTTTCAATTTCTCGATCCTTTAATTTTTCCATAATTCGATATTTCGACTTTTCGATTTTTCGGTTTCTCAATTTTTTACTTTTTTGATTTTTCAGTTTTTCAGAATTTTTAAGCTTTACACTTTTGAATTTTTCAGTTTTTCGAGTTATTAATGTTTCGATTTCTCTTCTCGATTGTCAATTTTTCGATTTTTTTGACTTTGCGCTTTTGTATTTCTCTATTTTTCTATGTTTTCAATCTTTTCGATTTTTCCGTTCTTCTTTATTGCTATTTTTCAATTTTCTGAGTCAAAATTTTTCATTTATTTTTCGGTTTTTCCATTTTTCAATTTTTCGAATTTTCGAACTTACATTTTTGAGTATCGATGCTTCGATTTCTTGTTCTTCCGATATTTCGACTTCTTTGGGCTTTTAAATTTTTCGATTTTAAAATTTTTTGTTAGATTTTTCAATTTCTCGGCGTTTAATTTTTCATTTTTCAGTTTTTCGATTTTTCAGTTATTCGATTTCTCAAATTATCGATATTTGGATGTTTCCATTATTCGATTTTGAGATTTATCTATCGACTTTTTATTTGAAATTTTTCAAAGTTCTCAATTTTTAACTGTTCGATTTTTCGATTTTGACCTGTTTTTTATTTCTCAATTTTTCGACTTCAAAATGGTTCGATTTTTTGATTTTCCAATTTTCCGATGTTTCAATTTTTAAGTCTTAGAATTTTGAATTTTTCAATTTTTCGGTTTCTTGATGTTTCGATTTCTCGATTTTTCAGTTTTTCGATTCTTAAATTTATTTTTCGATTTATCGATTTTCGACTTTAACTTTTTTGATTTTTCAGTTTTTCAGAATATAATTTTTAGATTTTTAAATGTTACATTTTTTAATTTTCCGATTTTTCGAATTGTTTCGATTTCTCGATTGTTAATTTTTCGATTTTTTGACTTTGCGATTTTTCTATTTCTAAATTTTTCGATATGTTGATGTTTCAATGTTTTCGATTTTTCGATTGTTCAGTTCTTCTACATTGCTGTTTTTCAGTTTTCCAAATTTTTAAATTTTTTGCTTTTCGATTTTTCAATTTTTTTCAGTTTGAGATATAGTTTTTTTAATGTGAAATTTTTCAATTTTTAACATTCGATTTATCGATTTAGGCCTATATGTCAATTTTTCGATTTCTCGTTTGCTCGATCTTTTAATGCTTCCATTTCCCATCTTTCCGATTTTTCGACTTTTCAGCATTTCGATTTTTTGATTTTCCAATTTTTCGATGTTTCTATTATACAGTTTTCACTTCTTAAATTTTAGAAGTTTGAATTGTTCAATTTTTCGATTTTTTGATGTTTTGATTTCTCGATTTTTCAATTTTCCGACTCTTTAATTTTTCGATTTCTCGATTTTTCAATTTTTCGATCTTCCAATTTTTAAATTTTAGAATTTTGAATTTTTCAGTTTTTCGATTTTTCGATTTTTCGAATTGTTGATGTTTCGATTTCTCAATTGTCACTTTTTCGATTTTTTGACTTCGCGATTTTTCTATTTCTAAATTTTTGCAATATGTTGATGTTACAATTTTTTCGATTTTTCGATTTTTCGATTTTTCAGTTCTTCTATATTGCCGTTTTTCAATTTTACAAATTTTTAAATTTTTGCGAATGCGAATTTTTTAGAAATTTTCAAAAATTCGCATTTCGTACCGATTCTTTTGAAAATGTTGCTCCGTGACCATCAACACGCTACATTTTTGGAATCAGCATGTCGAGATCTACGTCCCCGAATTTTTTCGGAATTTTTAGAAAACTTTTTTAAAAGTGAAATTTTTCCAATGGTCCCCCCTTCTTCAAATTTCGGCCAATTTTTGACATTTTCGAAACTTAACTAAATACATTTTCTTGTAGATTTTGAGCTCTAGAACTCACTTCGGGCATCGTTTCTTTGATAACTGCAACCGTTTTTCCAAAATCATCAATTGAAATATCGAAATTTTTAGAAATTTTCAAAAATTCGCATTTCGTACCGATTCTTTCGAAAATGTTGCTACGTGACCATAAACTCGCTACATTTTTGGAATCAGCACGTCGGGATATATATCCCTGAATATTTTCAGAATTTTTAGACAATTATTTCAAAAATGCAAATTTCGACCCATTTTTGACGGTTTTCGAAATTTAACTAAATACTTGTTCTTGTAAATTTCGGGACGCAGAAGTCACTTCCGGTCTCATTTCTTCAATAACTTCAACCTACGCTGAGCATTGAAATATCGTAATTTTTAAAATTTTTAAAAAATTTAGTACTTGAAACATCGAAAAATTGGAAAATTCACAGATCGAAATTTCGAAATATCGAAAAATCGAAAAGATGAAAAATCAAAATAATTGAATAATCGAGAAATCGAAATAGGCAAAAGTCGAAAAATCGAAATAATCTCAAAATCAAAAAATTTTAAAAATCGAGAAATCGGACCATCCAAAAATCAAAATCAAAAATTTAGACTCAGAAAATTGAAAAACAGAATAAAGAAAAACTGAAAAATAGAAAAATCGAAAAGTCAAAAAAATGGAAAAATTGAAAATCGAGGTATCGAAACATCAACAACTGGAAAAACTGAAAAATTCAAAAATGTAAAATTTCAAAATTCTGAAAAACTGAAAAATCACAAAAGTAAAAAATTGAGAAATCGAAAAATCGAAAAGTCGAAATATCGAAAATCGAAAAATTGAAAAATTAAAAATTCTAAAATTTAAGAAGTGAAAATTGTATAATTGAAACATCGAATAATTGGAAAATCAAAAAATCGAGAAATTGAGAAATCGAATAACTGAAAAATCGGAAAATTGAAAAATGAAAAATTAAACGCAGAGAAATTGAAAAATCTAACAAAAAATTTTAGAAAATCGAAAAATTCAAAAGCCGAAAGAAGTCGAAATATCGAAAGATCAAGATATCGAAACATCAAAATACTCAAAAATGTAAGTTTGAAAAATCGAAAAATAGAAAAATGGAAAAACCGAAAAATAAAAAATTTAGACTTAGAAAATTGAAAAATAGCAATAAAGAACTGAAAAATCGAAAAATCGAAAAGTCGAAAAAATTGAAAAATTAACATATCAATACAAAAAGCGCAAAGTCAAAAAAATAGAAAAATTGACAATCGATAAATCGAAACATCAACAAAATGTAAAACTTAAAAATTCTGAAAAACTGAAAAATCAAAAAACTAAAACATTGAGAAATCGAAAAGTCGAAATATCGAAAAATCGAGAAATCGAAAAATTAAAGAATCGAGAAATTGAAAAATCGAGAATTCGAAGCACAAAAAAATCGAAAAATTGAAAAAATCAAAATTCTAAAATTTAAAAATTGAAAATTGTAGAATTAAAACATGGAAAAATTGGAAAATCAAAAAATCGAAATGCGGAAAAGTCGAAAAACCGAAAAATAAAAGAAATAAAAATTCGGAAATTTGGAAAATAACAATATAGAAGAACTGAAAAATCTAAAAATCGAGAAATAGAAAAAACGCAGTCAAAAAATTCGAAAAATTGACAATCCAGAAATCGAAACATCAACAGCTCAAAAAATCGGAAAATTGAAAAATATAAAATTTAAAAATCGAAAAATTATATTCTGAAAAACTGAAAAATCAAAAAAGTAGTGAATTGAAAAATCGAGAGATCGAAAGATTAAAGAATCGAAAAATTGAAAAATCGGGAAATCGAAACATCAAGAAATCGAAAAACTGAAAAATTCAAAATTCTAAAATTTAAAATTGAAACATCGAAAAATTGGAAAATCGACAAATCGAAATGCCGAAATATCGAAAAATCGAAGAGATGAAAAATCAAAAGATCGAGCAAAAAGCTCAAGTCGAAAAATCGAAAAAAAAATCTCAAAATCTCAAAATCAAAAAAATGAAAATCTCGATAATTCGAGAAATCGAAAAACTGAAAAATCGAAAAACTGAAAAATAAAAAATTTAGACTCAGAAAATTGAAAAATGGCAATAAAGAAGAACTGAAAAATCGAAAAGTCGAAAAAATTGAAAAATTAACATATCGAAAAATCGAGAAATACTTAAAGCCCAAAGTCAAAAAAAATCGAAAAATTGACAATCGAGAAATCGAAACATCAACAACTCGAAAAATTGATAAATTCAAAAACGTAAAATTTAAAAATTCTGAAAAACCGAAAAATCACAATAGTAAAAAATTGAGAAATCGAAAAAAAGAAAAGTTGAAATATCGAATGATGGAAAAATTAAAGGATCGATAAATTGAAAAATCGAGAAATCGAAAAATTAAAGAATCGAGAAATTGAAAAATCGAGAATTCGAAGCTCAAAAAAATCGAAAAATTGAAAAATTCAAAATTCTAAAATTTAAAAATAGAAAATTGTAGAATTGAAACATAGAAAA